CCTTTTACCAGGAAAAAAAAATAAACCAATTCAGAAATCATAAACAAAGGGTCATTTGATTTCACAAGTAAAAACTTCATTAACTCACATTATCAAACAAAATCCTATAAGCATTGAGATCATGGTACAAAGCTCTTCCTTTACTGCTACAATACTCCAAAGCTTGAGCCAAATACAGTGCCACCCTCAACCTCATTGCCCATCTCATTGGCTGATTTTCCCCCGACAAAAGTAACCCATTTTCCTTTAACTTGAATCCTAAGCTTCACTTTGAGCCTAGTGGGAACAAAAAATGAAGGCTATGAACTTACAGTGAAAAAGATGCTTAGCCAACATTTCATGGGGCATAAACTCGGCCACGAACAATCTCTCGTCGCCTTCATGGCAACAACCGATCAGATTCGCCAACCGTTCACTCCTTAAACTCCCAACTGCTTCGGCTTCCTCCTAAACAAACATGCAATTTTCAAAAAGTAATGTTTACTCAGTTAGATGATCAAATAGTTAGAGAACAAAAAAAATGGTGAACTTGTGATTGTATTAAAACGGACGAGGAATTGGCGAGAATCGGGCCAGGCGAACTTGTTAAACCGTTTAACGGCAACCCAACGGCCATTGTCGAGCTTCCCTTTGTAGACAACTTTCGGAGCTTTTGCACCGTGTTCCGACACTATGTTATCGGAAGAAAAACCATTCGTGACAGCTTTGAGTTGCTCCAGGCTGAACTTAGTGAAACTCGGCCGTGTGTTCTTCTCACCTTTGCCCCCATTCTCTGCATTTGATTACAATGAGAAAAAAGGAACATCTTTTGAAACAAAGAACCAGAAACCGAAGACAGAAAATGAAGTACCGAGATCGGAGGATTCGAGGACGGAAGCTTTAAGGTGAGACTGAAACCTACAGATAGAGAATTCTGAACAACGAGCTCCCATTTTCCCCCTTTCAAATCAAATTATCAGACTCCGTACATGTCTGCAACAATCCCGAACTCTGTCGTCGTAGTGGCACTTTCTTTTCCCCCCTCTGTTTACTATAAAAAATGCAAAATTGTCGGACTTACAATTTGTTGACATTTATCAAACAAATTCACAAAAAGAGAATTTTTTTCCTACAAGCTCATCATTTGAGTTCTATTTTTCCCCTCTCATTTCTCCTTTTTCAACTTCGTGGGTGGTTTTTTCTGGAAATATGTTATGATTTGGAGAACCTTTTGACAAATCTTTTTTGCCTTTTAATGGATAATATTAAACATCTATATAAAAAAAACAGGGTTGTTCTTTCATAGGCGTAGTGGTAAAAGTTGGACAATATCATAGTTCGGTTTGGTCATAAGAAAATCACTGACATGGGGAAGCAGCGGATTAGTTTGGACCTGGATTTGGTAAAGTTGCATCAATAAACTGATTATCTTTCTTTGACTGGGACCAAGTCACCATCTTCCGGGGGGTTAAATAATTGAAAACGAGAACAAAAGGAGGCAATTTGGGTTCAAATTTGGTGCTTGAGTTGTTCAAAAAAAATGTGATGTTCTGCAAGTTTTGTTTTCAGGTACCGCGCTTTGCATGACAAACGTCACGGAAACACGAATAATGTGCATGATCATCTGGAAATGATTGTTGCTATTAAAGAAAAATTGAAAACCATCAATGACAGTGTGGGAATGTTGGAAAAACATGTGATCATTGACGATTGAGCCAAGCTGTCGTTTAATTTTACTATGATTCATCAACCTCCCTTTTTTTTGAATAATGTGAATCCTGAGAAACCATAATCAAAAGGGGGGGGGGAGGCAGATAGCCTTTTTGAAAGGGTTCTTATCTTTTTACTGCACATTTAACCACTTAGTCACCGCGTAGAGGAAATGATAGATAATCTGATTCATTACAATTTACAAATGGAAGCCGTACTATACGATATGAGATGAAATGCTGTGAAAATCAGATTGAAGGTTGGATTCAATTTTGGGTTTGATTAGTTAAACCACTAGTTTTAACACTCGTTCCTGATTCAACCGAGTTATTAGGCTACGGAGCTAGGGGTGCTAAGAGTAAATTTATGGGTAAATTACACCAACGGTCACTAATTTTTTTGCAAGTTTTCGTTTTCCCCGCTAAAGTTTCAAGAGTAACAAATTGGTCACTAACGTTATTGATTTGTAACAAAATGTCACTCCACCATTATCTCCGTTAAATTGATGACGTGACAACGTTAATAACAAGGTTAGTATTCAATTTTACCTTTAAATTGTTGTTAAAACATCAAATAAGTTTTTGAACAATGATTTTATATCTAATTTACCCCCGAAACTTTTTTATTTGAAAACAGAAGAGACTATATCCACCCTTATCGGATTAAAACAACAATATATAGCTAACACCAAGAATTATGAGCAAAAGTGAAGCAAGTTTATGATTGTTTCTTCAGCTTTACCCCTGAACCTTTTTTAATTGAAAACAGAAGATACTATATCCATCCTTATCGGATAAAAACAACAACATATAGCTAACACCAAGAATTATGAGCAAAAGTGAAGCAAGTTTATGATTTTTTCTTCAGCTTTACCCCTGAAACTTTTTTAATTGAAAACAGAAGAGACTATATCCATCCTTATCGGATAAAAACAACAACATACAGCTAACACCAAAAATTATGAGCAAAAGTGAAGCAAGTTTATGATTGAGTTCACCTTAGTTATGGCTATTATACTTAGAATCGAAGTGGATATTACATACAAAACTTATCTAAACGTGACTGGGCACAAACAATAATACAAAAATAAAGAACAATCAAAGCAATGTGTTGGGATTTTTAAGGCTCTATAACAATCGAAAATATAGCCAAGAGGGGTGAATTGGCCTTTTGAAAATTTTGGGGATGGAGGAATAAAACGTAAACAATAGACACAAGATTTAGAGTGGTTCAACTTCCTCAATGAAGTCTACATCCACTACCTTAATTTCACACTAAGGAATTTCTAACAAACTCACTAATTTGTTCTTTCTTTTTCTAGACTCAAGAGTAACTTTTACAAATTTCCTAGTTTTCAATGGCTAAACTAGAACCACTTTCCTTTTACAAAAGGATAAAGAATGTAAACAAGAAAAACCTCTCAAATGTAGGTGTTTAGAAATATAAGCTCACAAAAACACTATGTACAAGAGAAAAGAAAGAATAAAGAGTGAAAGAGCTTTTCTCTTAGTCTAGATTGCTTGCAAACGAACTGAATGTTTAGTGAATCGTTCATGAACTGTTCGACGGGGAGTTCATTTATTTTGATTTATTTATTAAACGAACGAACATTAACAAGATTTTATATTCGTTTAATTAAATGAACGAACACAAACAAAAGGCTCGTTCAGTTATTTATATTCATGAACGTTCAATAATTTGTTTGTTTATGTTCGTTCATTTGTTTATATTCATTTGTTTATGTTCTCCGAACTCGTTTGAAATATTAAGATTTGATAAATTTAAACCTTAACCATTAATATTTTAATCTCAAATAAAAAAACAATTAAAGAAAATATAAATCCTAAAATTATTTGAAAATTAAAAAAAATCTCAAATATAAACCCAAATAATTTTATGTGCGTTCGTTTATGTTTGTTCGTTTGTGTTTGTTTACGTTTGTTCATTTGTGTTTGTTTATCTTTAAACGAACGAACATGAACAAGCTAAATTTCTTAATGAACAAACGCCAACAAGAAATTTCATTCGTTTAGTTGTTCATGTTCGTTCGTTTGTTCGGTTAAAGTTAAACGAACGAACATGAGCATATCCCCGTTCGTGTTCAATCGGTTTGTTTATAGGCCCAATTATTATCCCTAGATGTTTCGGGTTTGAGCACCAACAACTGCAGAGTATTTAAATGTTTATTATCAAATGGTTAAGAATTTTAAAACATATATTTTAACTTGTACATAGATTAATTAAAAAGAAATTTTTATTTTTTTTCTATTTAATCCATCAACTTTTTATTTTATTTGATTTATTTTTTTATAAATTCATTCTTCTCCTCAGTTATTTGATTCATTTATTCTCATCAATGTTCTTCTCCAGAAATATCTTCTTTAAAAAAATAAAATTATAAATATATTTTAAAATTTTAAATGAGATTTGATTTAACAAATAAATTACAATGTGAAGAAAATATGAAGTATATATTATATTATTATAAGAAATAGTTAAATTAGATCAATACACATCATAACATTATTAGTATATATATTATTAAATTTGAATAAAATTAAAAAAACAACTTAAAATTTATAAATTCGATTCGATTTTAAAAAAATCAAATAAAATTTTGATTTTAAATAATAATAATCTCAAAAAGATCGACTCAAATGATATTACTCACCCTACCAACGGACATACGAAAGAAACAAGAGAGAGGCAGGCTCATGCCTGACAGATGGCTCTTGGGTTTCAATAGGACCCCCTCCTTAGCTTTTTACAACGGAAAAACAAAACAAAGAAAGAGAGCATGCAAAGGAGAAAGTGGTCGTTATTCACACATGCAACCAGCAATGATGAAAAAAATAATTGCAGCCTTCTCTGTGTCTCTCTCTCTTTCATGGCATACTCAGGACTCATAAACCAGGCATGCCATTGTTGTTTTCCATGCTCCTTTTACTTTATTGACCAACTTTTCAAATGCTTAAATTGCGCCCCCAGTCATTGCTTTTGAGATAGGCCCTGGCCTACAAGCATGGGGCCTCAAGACACAGCAGCCTGGCTTAGTTGTATATTATTGTGCCATCCAAATGTATAGAGAGAGAGTTCAAAGCTTCTAAACAACTGGCACTTGGGGCCATTCACACAAATATGCATTTGAATCAGATCCTCATCCTCCCAACGCATCATCTACCATTTTAGTTGTTGCAGAGATCATAGTTTTTAAAGACAGGCTGCCCCATATACAATCCTATCTCGAAACGAAGTGATGGAGGTTTTTTAAAGTCGAAATTAAAAGTATTTTATCTCAACGGCCTTCGGCATTGAGCAACCGACAATTATATTTCAGCAACTCGACAATTCACAAGTGCACTACGGTTCAGTTTTCTTAAGAATACAAATCGAATTCACCAGAGCTTTAATCCAAGACAATAAGGATTCATTCAAGCAAAACCCCATTAAAGTGAGATAGCAGTAATTTCCATCGTCTATGCACCATTCATTGCAGTATCATGGATTCCATTGACATCTTCTTGAATCTTGCCATTCACTTGAGTTCTCGGCCTCTAAATAAATTAGAAAAAAAAAATAAAGAAAGATGAATACCAATCTAACTTCGATATCAAAACGAGTTAACAAATGAAACTATACCCAATCTGCAGGATCCACAGAGTTCCCATTCAAGAGCTTGTGATTCTCTTCTTTGGTTCTACCATCCTTGTCTTTGGTACTCAATGGTAGCAGCATAGGTAAATTTCCACTGCTTCTGTCGGGCAATTCTGCAGTAAAATCTAACGGTTAGAAAATTCAACCCCAATCATCGAACCAATAATTAGACCAAAGTTTGATAAGATCAGAATATTCAAACCTGGCAGCTTCTTGTCTAGAAAGAATACCACTAAATTGACAGTATACCTGAAGCAAAAAAATTGTAATGTTGTAAAAACTAAATCAAAGAAAATATTAAAATCCTAATTGTGAATAGAAATTTCAAGTGTACTCCATACCATGCAACAACTACGTCAACCGTGTAATGTTTGCGGGATGCCACAATTAAGAGACTTTGAACAATAGCCACCAACCAAGCAAAGTACTTTATACAGCTGCTATTATACAACAATACCATTATAAATCTATCAATTATTTGCTCATATGTATATCATTGTAGCAAGGAAGAACAGATTGCCAATTACCAGATCTAAACATCCCGCTTTTGAGAATCAGAAATGTTATGAGAATGGCACTCGAGACAATTTCTAGTGTTCCCAACAATTATATATTGTTTTGTTCATTATTTTGTTTGGGGCTAATCACTAGAAACAAGTAAAAAGAGTAAGCCATCTTTTACCTTCTAGTGCCATATTTCTGATAGGTGAGCACAAAAACCAGCGTGAAGATCATGTGTGATGAAAAAATCAAGTCACCACAGCCATATATTACACCACGAGGAACTGCAAATTTGTCCAGCAAATGAGCCAAAATATTCATAAAAATGCATCTATATCTTTGAAAGCGATAAATTGAAATCTTCAATGAAACAAGAATACGTACAATTAATTAAGAGGACTTCTAATGCACTATGCGGTTTTGGCAGCCTTGCAAGCTTTGAACCCTACAAAAGTCCAAAAGAAAAACAGACTTATTTACTAGATGATCCTAAAATTTAAAATGTAAACGTAAAATCGAGGACAAGCTAACATATAATTCCAAGACCATACCTCTCGGCAATGATAATTTGGTCCCGGAAGCTGAGTAGAATAGAATGTGATGATGCGGAGAGCCTGAGAAGCCTGCAGCAAAAATAAACAATTGTGAGTAAATACAAAGAATCGCTTAGCATTTCAAAAGTTATCAACATTCATGAGATTAGTAAAGGTATTCGAATTCAACTCCATCAACAGGTTCGATTTTATTAGACATATTACTGATGAAAACGGTAATCCTAGAACAAATATAAACCAAGCATCAATACTCACAACTAAAAATGATAGCACCCTGCACCAAACAAGAACTGTGTAGATCTTCTTGCTCTTGAAGATGAAAGGATGGAAAGTCCACTGCAGAGAGCAACTAATATGTTATAAGTGGAGAAAAGAAAAAGTTTCCTATAGAACTGAACAGCAACACCAAGTACTAACAAAGTGGATGCTAAATAAAAGCAGTGAAAGGAATTACCAATAGACAAGTAAAATAAAAAAAAAGGCAGTATCAGAATAACTTTACCAATACAAACGATAAAAAGACACAGGTGAACACAGTCTCACTGATGTAGCCTTTATCTTGCCCAAGCTCCTAAATTTACAGGAAAATATATATAAGAATGGAAATTTTCACCAATTTATAGAGATAAGAAAAGAGCCAAAAAAGGGGGAAACTTGTTCTTACTGGTAGAATATAGAATCCAAGATCCTGAAGTGTTGGCCCTGGCCTGTGTAAGTAATGGACTCCTCGAGCAGATAAACCGTGAATGTACTGCAGTGAAAAAAATGCACATTTCAGACCCAGAAAGAAGTCACAGGTGAAAAAATGCACATAAATACTTAAAATACTAAAATTCTCTTTGGGAAAAAAAAGCTTTGAAATTATTTACACAAAATAGATACTGAAAATAGAAATGGGTTTAATTTGAACAAAATGAAACCTGAAAGATGAGACCAGCGAGAAGGTATTTCCAGTTATCTAGAAGAAGGTTGATCTCTGTAGTTGTTTCTGAACATATTCTCTTCCATAACTACAAAAAAGGGAAAATTATTAACAAATACAAACCAAAAATTCGAATAAGAACGTGAAAATGAAAAAGCAAAAAATAAAATAAAACCTTTGAAGCTTCGCGTCCAATGTAAAGCGTCATCTTCTTATAGTCGTGTAAATACAAGTCCCATAGCACTTCAAAACCCAGCAATTAAGGTGAACATCATTAAAACTAAAAGGAAACAACTTTAAAAGTTCCCCCTTTTAACCAAATCCTTAAGAAGTTAACCGCCGCCGCCAAAAAATTCTTTGAAATCCACCACAACTGAACAATCGATGCTTCTTATCAATTCTTCAAGCGATCGTCAAAGACAACGCGAACCCACGGTCAAGATCGAACAACACCGATGACAAAGAAATGAATGAGGGGAAAAGTGGGTTCTTCGATATAAATTAAGGGGGAAATTCTAAAAGAAGAAGAGCTTGAGAATCTGAATTTGGTGGTTTTATCTTTGTGTAATCTTCCTTTTGGGCTGTGTTTCTCGTATAAAAAAAACGGCGACGCGAGTTGAACACGGAGAGGACTTTGAGGCTTTTTATTTTCAAAAACTTTCACCCCAAGTGAAAAGACGAAGAAGAGCCCCCAGAAACGGTGATTCCTTAATTACTTTTTAACTTTAATTTGAATTAATTTAAGTTGAAACACACAAATATTCCTCTAAATTTTTTACATTTTCTTCTTTCTACGCGACTATCAATGTTGACTTTAGATTATTTTATTTATTTATTTATTCGATCATTTATAAAATTATTTATTCTTCTAGTATGTTGTTTTTATGCTATTATAACATAGTTTTTTTCTTATAATTATATTTTATTTGGTTCTACGTATTCCTATGTTATTTGTTTGATTATTTTATTAATATTTTTCATTTTGAATATTAAGTTAGATATCGATATATACTTGTAATCATTGAAGACAAGTCACGATTGAATTACGATAATGTCACGTTGTCAATGTATTAACGAATAATTATTGTTATATGAATTTTTATAATAGTATATATTTCACTGTAGACAATATTATTTCTTTATATCATCATTTGATTAAATTGTTTGGTTAATTTTTTAATTATTTTCATGTATCATCTTTTTTTCTTGTTTTAAATTGGTTTGTGAATTTTGACGGTATTATAAAATATTTTCAACTTATGTGCTCAATTTAATATTTCTTTTTATAATTTTTCATAATTTTAGATATTTTTATTTAAGAAAGTGTATAAAAATAATTAGTTAAAACAGTATATTTTAAAATTCGATGTATTTTAATTTAAATCGTAATTGATGTACTAAAATAGCCTTTTATAGGTAAAACAGTAACGAGCATTTGGTTAGGGGTTACGATAATTAATAATTATTAAAGCAGCCTTGATCGTTGGCTGGGGGGTTGCATGTGCCGACCTGCAAATACTCAGAATATGTTATTTTGCCAGTATGTCTGTCTGTCTGCCTGTCAATTGTCATTACTTGCTGACCATTACTTTCTCCTTCCTTCCTTCCTCTTTCTATACACGATCAACTGTATAAACTTCTACGGTAAACTCTAAATTTAATCACTTGACTTTCTTCTTACTTCTATTCTAGTCGTTAAAATTTTAAATTTTTTAATTTAATCACTAAATTTTAGGCATTAGAATTCTTTGTCACTCTTCTGTTTTCTCAGACTATTTTTCGCGACAGAGATTGTTATAATGTTTTGAGTCACGTAGACGTCAACTCAATTTTTAATTATTGCTTTTCACGACCAATCAGTATGCCATAGGGCCACCCACACGACCCAATTGTCTGTGAACGTCGGCCTCCTACCATGGCCCTAGAACTCTACTCACATTTTACCCAATGTCTCCAACACACCTGCCCCGTGGTCGACTGAAGCTCTGCCCTTCAACCCCAACACATATTTTCCCCAGTTTCGCCCGATTAGAGCTATCGTCTTCGGGTTATTGTGCACGGTCGCGCTACCACGCCAATGATCATGTTTGATATGCTCTGTTATCACGAATGAAGCAAAAGTAGTTGATGGACTGTTAGGATTTAGGGAGATTTGGGAGATTTGATATATTTTGTTTGAAGAATGTGAAAAAAAAAAGATTAAATTAGAAATTAATCTTTTTTATCAGTTTCTCAAATCATCGAACTAGCGAGGGTCAACGATCCATTGAACAAAATATAATAATAAACATATAACGTAAATGACCAAAATATTACTTTTTCTAAAATCAATAACTAAAACAAGACGGGTCAAAAACAAAAGGGACCACTCTTGTAGTTTACCTATTCAAAACTACACCATTCCATTTTCAAGATGTAATTCAAATATAAATTCTTTTTGTATTTACGAATTCAAAGAATTGATAAGATCAGCAATTGAATATATTAAGATGATTCACAAGTTGGGTGACAGTTAAGGGCAGTTATGGAAAAAGGAAAGAGAACTGGGAGAGGGTCAAAAGTCAAAGGTAGTTATTGGCGAGCCATCTCCACAATCAAGGTGGGCGGGCGGCCAGTGGACCTCATTTTTCACATTTTTGCCCGAACCGTCGCTAATTAGTTGGCCCCACTGGACGATGAGGCTAAAATTACGAGGCACCAAACACAAGACTCTGTAAATATAATGTAAACATGGTTTCAGAACCGGATCGGTTAGTGAATCGGTCATGCTATCGATTATTAGTTCAATCGGTTGAATCGGTTTGATCGGTCGGAAGAATCGGACGACGTCATAATTATTTAAAAAATTAAATAAAAATATCAAAAATATTTAATAAAAAATAATTTTTTATATCACAAGTAATATTCAAAGCAAATCATAACATATATAAGTTAAAAACCATAAAATCAAGTGAAACAAAATGATTCAAATTAACTACAATATACTATTTAAGATAAAACATATTAAATAATAAATATAATTATATAATTATAATTAAAAAATAAATTTGGGGTTAAAAAAATCATAACAAAATGATATTGTTTGGTTTAATTTTTTTTTAAACAATCTCACATGGCTAAGAAACATAGAAGAGCATCCCAAAAGTCTAAGAGTAAAAATATGAGAACAAAATAATCTCACATTGCTAAGAAACATAGAAGCACATCACAACTAACTTCTATAAATAATAGAGGTAATTTGGCATTCAAAATCATGGAGCCTGTTGGTGAGCATTGAGTGAACTATTCTTTCACTTCAATTAAGCTCGAATTTTAGGCTTCAATCGAGCTTCTAATTTTTTTTGAATTCAAACCTTTTTGAGTTCAAGTTTCAATATTATATTTCGAGTTTGAGTTGAACTTGATAATTTTTAGCTTGTGAGTTTGAGTTGAGTTGAGCTTACTTTTAAAGTTTTCAAGTTCGAGTCGAGCTCAGCAATACTCGAGTTCGACTTGGCTCGTTTAACAAACGACGTTGTTTGGTTTAATTTTTTTATAAAAAAAATCAAAAATCCCGATTTTTTTCGGTTTTCAGCCGGTCCGATTTGAACGGTTCAACGGTTCTGGCCGGTTCACTAATAGTGGTTTAATCGGTTTAGATTGAACCGGATTAAGCAACGGTTCCCGGTTGAACCGACCGGTCCGGTCCGGTTTTCAAAACAGAGATTGTAAAGGTTTATTATCAATATATATACATATATAATTTATTGAAGGGTAAAGTATACAAATGATCCCGACTATAAGATAAAGTTTTATTGAATTATTTGACTACTAAAAGTTACAAAATGATTACTAGATTAATCATTATATTTCAAACTCGTCGTTTTTCGTTAAAAAATAATGGTAGTATAAGTTGGATATAACATGTTGACAGAGATATGATAGTCATTTGAGATTAAGAGATCGTATTTTATCATATCTCAGTCAATAGGTTAACGTACAATTCATATTTTTGTAAAAAATTTAACGAAAAGGGGTGAGTTTTGTAACACCCCAACCCGTACCTGACCGAATACGAGTCCGAGATGTCACATTGACTTTTAAAAACAAAATTCTTAACAAAATACAGAACCTTTGGACTTATATTAAGAAAATACTATTAAATTATGCTTCATTATAAAAATTTAAGGCAAAAATGTATTTATGAACAATACTATACGGTATGAACAGTACCGTGAACAGTAGTGAATAGTGCCATGAACAGTGCTACATTGCATCGATGAATTGCTACAGTGCATCGATGCATTGCTACAGTGCACCGATGCACTAAAATTAAGAAGCAAAATTGTGCATCGATGTACTGCTACAGTGACTTTCGTAAAACGTTCATAAAACTCGTAAAAATTTAACCATTCATTACTATACATTTACATAAATACGTTTAAAACATTACAAAACTCTATCATATGATTTTACAAACCAATTAGAACATATCAGATTTAAACCTTTATTTACATCCCAACCACTATCCTTATTACAAAATACATATTATACATTTCTTTTCTGATCTGATCTTTGGAAAGAAGAAATTGAAATGTCTTGCATAACTCTTATCAATCTTCCTCTTCTCAGAACCTACACGTGAAACAATCACACGCTAAGTCGTTGACTTAGTGAGACATGAAAACATATGATATTACTCTACTCATATTAATGCATAAACAATTAATACTATCATATCATATAAAAGCATATCTCCTATTGTATAACCAATGCACACATATACCTATTACATTAACATACTTATCAGTACTCATATTACTATCATTAATTCCTTTTTATCATGTAATCATATATTGTACCTTTTTATACTCACCATCGGGCATCCATATCATTTCACAACAGAGCACACATAGTATCATATCAAGTTATTTATTATCTTTAAAGATTATATATTAGCCCATGTACACTTCTAAGAACTTAAGGTATGTGAGTACATTGAGGTTGTGCACTATTATGCTATCACCACAGCTTGTATAATTGTCCCGAAAGACCTATCCAGAGGTCATAAAGAACCTCGACAACTGTCCATAGGTCCCGAAGAACCTAGGTAAACTGTCAATCTGTCCCGAAAGACATAGGTAAACCCTCGACTCTTGGCATGCCAACTATACCTATCGCTCTCGTATCATATACCATGGGCATTTATTTTTAGGTTTCATATGCTCATGTATTCATGTCATTTCTCTTGTGATCACATATACCTTTTCTTCTGTCACATACCACATGTATGTGTAAACATCTATGTCATTTCATATAACATATAATCAT